CCTCCCCCTGCTCTCTAATACTCAGCTCCAACACAGTCTGCATTCACCCCCCCCCCCCCGCTCCCTAATATTCACCTCCAACTCAGTCTGCATTCACCCCCCTCCCCCTGCTCCCTAATACTCAGCTCCAACACAGTCTGCATTCACAGCCCTCCCCCTGCTTTCGAACTGTATTCGGCTCCAACACAGTCTGTATTTGCAGGTTGCAGGAAGATGAAAATAGATCTGTCCCAAGTAAAATTGAATCAAATATTGTCAAAAATTTAATGAAACAAATGGAGTGTGTTTAGAAATAAAGCGGGGTTTGTGTTTAATAACATATATTTCCACGAGGGAGAATAAATAAATCCACAGCGTGTTCCATAACAAGACACTGAGAACATGAAGCAGGAAAGGAGGCAAAGAGTGAGTATGAGAAGTGACTGGTAGCTAATGTTAATGGGATTCTCAAAGTCTTCTGTAGACGTGTGAATGGTAAAAAGAGTAGGGCCTGATAGGCACCGAAAAGTGGATTTACAGATTAAGGGGAGAGGACATTTAAGGTATGAAACAAATTTTTTAGGACGATGCTGGACTAAGATGATGTTGCCAAAGTTATATGAAAGGGACAGAACAAATGACACCTGATGGACAAAGTAGAACAGCTGGCTGATCTTGCGAAGGCACCAGGGCTGGATAAGATACACGCAAGGATACTGTGGAAGGCACTGGCTAATATCTTCCAGCCTTTCCTCAACTCAGGAAACGTACATGATACCCTTTCTCAAAGCCAGAGTATGGAAAGGCTCAGCAACTACAGATCGGTCAGTCTGAATTCCCTTGGTGAACAAACCGACCAGCACAGGAACAGGCCTATTCAGCTCACTAAATCTGTGCCAACACTATTCCTGTCTAAACTAAAAACCTTTTGTCTCTACTTATCTATTTATTTTCTTTTTATGTTTCTGCCAAGATGCCTGTTAAACATCACTATTGTATCTGCCTCCACCACCATCTGGGTATAGACCTTGCCTCTCACAGGTTTAAACTTATCACCTATTCCCTTAAACCTATGTCCCCTAATAATTGACATCTTTTCCTCATGGAAAAAAGACTCTGACTATCCATTCTATCCAGGCCTCTCACAATTCTGTAAACCTCTATCGGGATATCCCTCTGCCTCTGACGTTAAGAACAAAGACCAAAGAAAATTATAGCACAGGAACAGGCTCTTCGGCCCTCCAGACCTGCACTGACATGCTATCCGTCACAACTAAAACCCCCTACCCTTCCGGGGACCATATCAGTCTATTCCCATCCTATTCATGTATTTGTCAAGATGCCCTTTAAAAGTCACTAGTAGTATCTGCTTCCACTACCTCCCCCGGCAGCGATTCCAGGCACCCACCACCCTCTGTGTAAAAAAACTTGCCTCGTACGTCACCTTTAAACCTTGCCCCTCGCACCTTAAACCTATGCCCACTAGTAACTGACTCTTCCATCCTGGGAAAAAGCTTCTGACTGTCCACTCTGTCTATGCCCTTCGTAATCTTGTAGACCTCTATCAGGTCCCCCCCTCCACCTCCTTTGTTCCAGTGAGAACAACCCAAGTTTCTCCAACCTCTCATAGCTAATGCCCTGCATACCAGGCAACATCCCGGTAAATCTTTTCTGTACCCTCTCCAAAGCCATCACGTCCTTCTGGTAGTGTGGTGACCAGAATTGAACACAATATTCCAAATGCGGCCTAATTAAGGTTCTATAAAGCTGCAACATTACCTGCCAATTTTTTAAAAAATTCATTCACAGGGTGGGGGCGTTGCAGCATTTATTGCCCATCCCTATGCCCAGAGGGCAGTTGAGAGTCAACCACGTTGCTGTGGGTCTAGAGTCACATATAGGCCAGACCAGGTAAGGATGGCAGTTTCCTTCCCTAAAGGGCATCAGTGAACCAGATGGGTTTTTCCCCAACAATCAACAATGGATTCACAGCCATCATTAGATTCTTAATTCCAGATATTTCATTGAATTCAAATTCCACCATCTACCATGACAGGATTCGAACCCGGGACCCTAGAATGTTATCTGGGTCTCTGGATTAACAGTCCAGGGATAATACCACTAGGCCATTGCCTCTCCTACACTCAATGCCTTGGCCGATGAAGGCAAGCATGCCATTTGCCTTGTTGACTACCTTCTCCACCTGCGTTGCCACTTTCAGTGACCTGTGTACCGGTACACCCAGATCCCTCTGCCTATCGGTACTCTTAGGAGTTCTGACATTTACTGTATATTTTCCATCTGGATTAGACCTTCCGAGATGCGTTACCTCACATTTTTCTGGATTAAACTCCATCTGCCATCTCACAGCCCAAGTCACCAACCGATCTATATCCACCTGTATCCTCTGACAGTCTTCATCGCTATCTGCAATTCCACCAACCTTTGTGTCATCTGCAAACTTACTAATCAAACTAGTTACATTTTCCTCCAAATCATTTATATATATTACAAACAGCAAAGGTCCCAACACTGATCCCTGAGGAACACCACTAGTCAGAGCCCTCCATTCAGAAACACACCCTTCCACTCCTACCCCCTGTCTTCTATGACCGAGCCAGTTTTTTATCCATCTTGCAAGCTCACCTCTGAGCCCGTGCGACTTTACCTTCTGTATCAGTCTGCCATGGGGGACCTTGTCAAAGGCCTTACTGAAGTCCATGTAGACAACATTGATCATCTTCATCACTTCCTCAAAAAACTATCAAATTAGTGAGACACAACCTCCCCTTCACAAAACCATGTTGCCTCTCACTAATACGCCCACTTATTTCCAAGTGGGAGTAAATCCTGTCTCGAAGAATCCTCTCCAATAATTTCCCTACCACTGACGTAAGGCTCTCTGGCCTGTAATTAGCTGGATTATCCCCGCCACCCTGCTTAAACAAAGGAACAACATTGGCTATTCTGCAATCCTCTGAGACCTCCCCTGTAGCCAGTGAGGATACAAAGATTTCCCTCAAGGCCTCAGCAATTTCCTCCCTTGCCTCTCTCAGTATTCTGGGGTATATCCCATCAGGACCTGGGGACTTGTCTAACTTAATGTTTTTCAAAACCCCCAATCCTCCCTTTTGATCTCAACATGACCCAAACTATCTACACACCCTTCCCCAGATTCATCATCCACCAAGTCCTTCTCTATGGTGAATACTGATGCAAAGTACTCATTTAATACCATTTCCTCTAGCTCCACACATAAATTCCCTTCCCTGTCCCTGAGTGGGCCAACCCTCTCCCTGGCTACCCTCTTACTCTTTATATGTGTATAAAAAGCCTTGGGATTTTCCTTAATCCTTTTGGCCAATGAACTTTCATGACCAATCCTGTTGGCCAATGACTTTTCATGATCAATGTTCAAGTGAAAACAAACCAAGTTTGTCCAATCTCTTCTCGTACCTAACATGCTGCAAACTAGGCAATGTCCTGGTAAATTGTTTCTGGAGCCTCTCCAAAGCGTCCACATCCTTCTGGTAATGTGGCGAGCAGAACTGTATGCAATGTTCCAAATGTGGCCTAACTGCTGTTCTTGCCGATTTTTATACTCTGTGCCCTGACCAATGAAGGTATGCTTGCAATATGCCTCTTGACTACCTTATCCATTTATGTTGGCACTTTCAGGGAACTGTGGACCTGTACATCCAGATTCCTCTTTACGTTGCTGCTACTAAGGGTTCTGCCATTTATTATATACTTCACTCCAGCATAAGATATTCCAAAATGCATCACCTCACATTTGTCTGGATTAAACTCAATCTGCCATTTCTCTGCCCAAATTTCCAGCCTATTTATATCCTGCTGTATCCTCTGGCAATCCTCCTCACTATTCACAGCTCCCCCCATCTTTTGTGTCATCTGCAAACGTCCTCCAAATCATTTATACGCATTACAAACAACAGGAGTACAGCACTGATCCCTGCGGAACACCACTGGTCACAGATCTCCAGTCAGAAAAACAGCCATCCACCGCTACTAGCAAAACTGGAGCCCTAGCAAAACTGGAATCAATGGGTATCAGGGGGCATACGCTGCAGTGGGTGAAGATATACCTGACACATAAGAAGATGGTTGTGGTTGTGGGAGGTCTGTCATCTCAGCTCCAAACATCTCTGCAGGAGTTCCTTAGGGTAGTGTCCTAGGCCCAACTATCTTCAGCTGTTTCATCAATGACCTTCCCTCCATCATAAGGTCAGAAGTGGGGATGTTCGCCGATGATTACACAATGTTCAACACCGTTCATGACTCCTCAGATACTGAAGCAGTTCATGTTCACATGCAACAAGATCTGGACAATATCCAGGTTTGGGCTGACAAGTGGCAAGTAACATTCGCGCCACACAAATGCCAGGCTGTGACCATCACCAACAATAGAGAATAGAGAAGCCGTCATCTCTTGACATTCAATGGTGTTACCATCACTGAATCCCCCACTATCAACATCCTGGGGGTTACCATTAACCAGAAACTCAACTGGACTCACCACATTAACAGGATGACTACAAGAGCAGGGAATCCTGCAGCGAGTAACTCACCTCCTGACTCCTCAAAGCCTGTCCACCATCTACAAGGCACAGGGCAGGAGTGTGATGGAATACTCCCCACTTGCCTGGATGGGTGCAGCCCCAACAACACTCAAGAAGCTTGACACCATCCAGGACAAAGCAGCCCACTTGATTGGCACCACATCCTCACGCATCCACTCCCTCCACCACCAACGCTCAGTAGCAGCAGTGTGTACTATCTACAAGATGCACTGCAGAAATTTACCAAAGATCCTCAGACAGCACCTTCCAAACCCACGGCCACTTCCATCTAGAAGGACAAGGGCAGCAGATACATGGGAACACCAC